TTGAAATCTTTTTTGTTCCTGCGGTAAGGGTGATCCTTAGGTAGGAACCTACGGTGTCCCATATAAACTATCTTTGAGTTATTTGGCAGATTTACTGCATCGGTGTCGTCCAAGCACTCGACACATCCAATATAGCCTTTGGTCTTCTCTCCGGACAACGAACCTCGACCTGGTAGGTCGGTGACTGTAGAGATAAGTAGTCCCTTGATCGTGACATGTTCCTTTTTGTACTCATCCCAAACATCTGACACACCCTTTTCAAACATCTCCACTAGTTCATCGATCACTGGTTCCAGAAACACATCGATGTCATTCCCAGGTTGTCTTGGCCCTTGGATCAGTAGTGGCATCTAGATGTACGACCGCTTCATATAGACCCAAGGTGGAAGGTTGTATATATAGAGCGTCACTGGCCAGGTGCTATGATTACTTCTAACCTGGTCGATAGGATTCATCCCATCTGTGCTCAAAGCAAACCAAAGGTGCCTTACCTCTCCACCGATGTCTTTATAGAACATAGTATTGATAGTCCTCCAGTCATGCCCATCGACAGGGTGCCTCATCATTGTATCTTTCTTACGCTCTTCGCCATGCCAGCGCAACAGCTTGGCTAACTTTGCACATGCAAACAGCCTATGCACCCGGGGAGCTATAGGGAAATACCAAACGACCTTTACGGGACCTCCTCTGGTCTTGGTACCCTCATCTGACGGCCCTTCCTTGTACCGTGGAGCTTCACACTTGGGGCACTTGTCCACGTCTTTGTATTTTTCTCCACGGTACAATATGCAATCATTGGAACACGCGTGGATTTTTTTATCCTCGAGGCCGATGGGGCAGATCATTTGCTTGGCCAAGTATGTTTTTTCTGGCAACTCGTTTTTTTTGGGAGCATTTTTCCTACAGAACATTCACACCAACCTCACCATGGATAGTCCATATCGTATAGTTTGGCATGAACTCCCTGGTAATCAAGTGCGATCGTATAGACTCAATTTGACGAAAGCTCCTATGATTCTTGCAATCTTTGCATGGCAGAAGACAGGTTCCTATTTCCAGCATGGGCTTTGGCATCGGTGATACACTGGCTGACGCCATGCATGTACCTCTTGTCCGTTCGGGACAGATGCATCCACTCTCGATCCATCTCTGCACAAAAAAATACTAAGACAGTAATTACAAAGAATTAATAAGAAATCGAGCTTCATGAACAACAATTGTAGTTCGAAAGTACCATTTTTGTAAAACATTATTGTACACTAATTATTGGAAAATTGAAATTGATAGCCCCGGCCTGTAAATTGAAAATCGTAGTAAAAAACAATTATTGTGCAATAATGAAGAACATCTATTCTACTCTACTTCTAAGAACTAATTATAGCATCACATACTAACAATGATGATCTTGACCACCATGGAATAATTAGCTAGGAATTTAAATGTGTTCATAGACACCAACCGTTTGGATGATGGATTCACCATAATTTGAGCCTTCGCACAAATGTCCAATTGAAAAAGTGCTCTCTAGAATGGAGAAAGAACTAGAATGAGAATCAAGCAATGTAGCCATCAAAACGAAGCTAATTAAGCAACAAAATCAAAGAAGTGGATGCTTGTTACTAACCTTAAAGCAAAAAGATCAAGCCATTCTTTAAAATCCAAGCACTAACTTTATGGTGAAGAGCAGCCGTAACAATGGAGGGAAGGGTACAAACACGCGCCTCTGTTCTCGGGATGGAAGAGAGGAGGAAGGAGAGGACGGCTGCAACCTTTTTGTGTTGTAGGCTTATCACCGTCGGTTTTTGGCTAGATCCGACAGTGATAAAGCCCAATCACTGTCGGGTCTTGGCTTAAACCGGCAGTGATGAGTGACCGTCAAAACACTACCGGTTCAAGCCACAAACCCGCAGTGATGTGGTCCTTCACTGCCGGTTTTAGCCCAGCGCCAATCATTTTTTCATTTTCAAGCTCATAACAGGCAGTGCAGGTACATCACTACCGGTTCTCACAAATTCAGCAGTGATGATGCCGACAGTGATGTGCAAATCTGACGTAGTGATGACCTCCTTATCCACTAACGAAGGCAATACCCGGAGCTCCTATTCAAAGTAGGTATCATAATAATCACGAACTAGTTTTCTGTTTCTTAAGCCCTAAGTTCTAACAACAATCTGCTTTACATTGTGTGAGTGATGAACTGACGAAGTACTTGACATTTCGATAAACGTAATTCAATATTATGTGAAAAAACAATTCATCAATTTAGAACTGTTTTATTCAACCTTCTGAAGTCAAATTCGGTAATTGGTGACACCTAATTTAGAACTGTTTTATTCAACCTCCATCCTGTCCGAAAATATAGGTCATTTCTCTAATTTTAACAAAGTTTATAGAAAAATAGACCTACATCTCTAGAACAAATTAGTTTTGAGTCCGGTCCACTATAAATTGCTCTGATAGATGACGCTGAGTTTATGGGAGGTAAATACAAAGTGGATCAACTAGGTAGGAGCCTGCATCCCCAAGAACAATAGTGGGCTTGGGGTGTTAGTAATCCTAGAGATGTTTTGACAACAAAATCTGGGTGAAAACAGAAGTACGTGGTGACGACATCACAGAAGGCCTTGAGTTCACGTCCTGCACCTCCATAACGCTGGGGCCTTGAGGATCACAAGAAAACAAGGCTCTGGCACTCGGAATGGCTAGGAGGACAGGAGCCGTAAAATGACGGAATGTGGCAGACGCTCTGCGAAACAACAATTGGATTCACAATCCATTGGTTGCTACGGTGCTGCACTTTTGATGAGTTTGTAACGCTTTTGGTGCAGAGTCTACAAGGTCAACCTGACACCGTCCAGATCAGAGTCTACATGGTCAACCTTACATCAGATCAATTGGAGTGCATGACTTGGAAAACTAAGACAACATGGGCTGCCTCTGGCTTCGGTGGCTATGTACAAAAGGACAAATGACTAGCCAAGCAAAGAACTTGCTAAAGTTACCTATAATCAAATAGAGAGTATTTTCCCAGTTTAAACTTTTGAGTCATTTTACCTTTATCATAAGTCAAACTTGTATAAGTTTGACCAAGTTTATAAAAAAACTATATTAACATCTATAAATATCAAACTTGGTTATAAAAACTTGGTCAAAATATATTTCGTAGTATATCTAATGAATTTAGTTTGATGTTGTAGCTGTTTGCACGTTTTTATATAAATTTGGTCATGTGTAGAAAAGTTTGACTTAAGACAGCTAAAATTGACTTACAATTTGGATCAGAGAGGATTTATGGAAGCAGTATATTGATTTTTTCTCCAAAGAAACACAAGAAGTAACAAACAACTACTCTCTAGCAACCAAAAAATTGACCTAGGCAAAAGTTTCTCCTTAAATAATTTTGAGCATCCATTTGTTTGCCTTTACAAGGAATTGATCATTTTAAGAAATAAAAAGGTATATCCATCGTTGCAATATGTATCAACAGAATTTCTAAGGTGTGAGTGATAAAATCATAACACTTCATCATAGGGTCCAAACAAACCAATGAATTTCGTTTTACTTTTTTTTCAGAAAATTCTGAGTATTTTTTATGAAAATAATAATTTTACTGATACTTGAGCTGCAATCACCCAGCTAATTGGTAGCTAAATGTTGTACTTGGATTGAAAAGTGTCATATAGGCAGTTTTGAAGTAGAATTTACAGATTAATGTTATTTAACGTATCTTCCATTTGGTCTCTCTCCTTCGTTCTATGGATGTTCGAATAATTTGCGCATGTGATTCATGAATTGTCTGTTGGACCAAATCACTGTCCCGCCGATTAAACACATACACTTGAGGAACTTCAAAAAGTAAGCTTTGCCCGTTATATATATGTAGCAGTAATTGTTGTCAATCCCCTCTACAATCTGCACCGATAGATCACCTCACATTCTAATGTTTTCATCATTTCCTTGTCCCTTCGAGATGCTTCAGGGTTCACGCCCTTTAGGAATTAGGACGCCATATATCAAGTGTAAATACATTGAAAACAATTGTTTTGCATCGAGGAAATTACCACTGGGAAATATCGTTATTCCTGCATGGTTGTCTTGCAAGCATTAAGGCACTAAACACGAATCAATGCGTCTGATTCTGCTATTGAGCCTGTTCGCTGGTTGGTTTCTGGGCTGATAAGCTCGGCTAGTGCTGGTTTGTTGTGAGAGAAAAATACTGTACCATGGCTGATAAGCCCTGGCTGAAACCAACAAGCGCAGCAAAACAAATTCATCACTGTAGTCATTGCTACCTAGTACTACTAGTATGCATGTTATTGCATTTTCAGTACAAAAGCTCTTAGTAGACTTTGAAAAGGAAAATCCCAGCAAAACAAACCAGCCTGAATTAGAGATCAGTTTGGAAATGATTCATCACAGAGGCAATGTCTACAAGTCGTGCACCATAACAAATATGCAAGGGAAGAACATACATAATCAACAATTGTTAGCCAATTGCTCATATGAAGCTAGCATCTTGTGAACTCCAGCCCCCACTAAACAGATGTTTCAGAGTTCAGAAAGCTATCTAGTGAACGGAACTGCTGCAGCCTCAGAGCTAGTGGCAATGACCTTGCAAGCTACTGATAATCAGGTAAGAAAACTAGACAAATAAACGCTGATAACTGCTAACACTCGTTCTAGAATTCAAGTCATTCACGTCGTACAATGTATTGAGGTGGATGAACCTGAAACTCGTAGCCAGCAGTGGAGTCATGAGGGAGTTTGAGCGTCTCGATCCTGGGACACTTGGCACAAATTGTGGCGCGATCCATCTTAACATTGAAGCATTGGCGAATGTCAAGGGACTCCAAATTGGGGCATCCATCAAGGATAGCAGCCATCCCTGCGTTGGTGAGCTCACAGTTGAACAGCTGAAGGGAGCGCAGCTGGTGCATCTTTGCAATCTCCATGGCTTCCTCGTCCTTGTCATGCCTGCCCCCTTCAATGCTGACAATGACTTATTTGCCCAGTCTGAAACGCTTGAGGTTTGGGCATGATGCGCCAACGACTGCAAAGGCCTCTCCATAGACGTTAGGACTGAGCGAAAGCTCCAGCGCCTCGAGCAGAAGGAACTTCGTCATGGCCTCCATGAATGCTTCCTGACAGACATCGTAGCAGTATATGAAGCGAAGGCTCTTCAGCAATGGCGCCCTGCAACCGTAGTACAGGATTCAGCTGTTAACACTAAACAACTACTTTGGATGCAGGACAATCCCACATACAAAGACATGTTCAATGCAAGATCATACAATTTGTTAGATATATCACCTGAAGTTTAGTGTAAAAAAATACATTTCACATAGTAAGAACTATCAATATGATTATGATAGGGTTCACAAAAGTATCAGTAGTTTTTATCTCCGAATCAATTCATACATGACAAATAGAACTATGCATTTTCTCTGTAACCCAAGTAATGGATGAAATGGTATTAAGTATAACAACAAATAACAAATTAACAATGTAAATTTCCACCTCTCAAATACGAGCAAATCATAAGTGTACGGCAAAAAATTCCAAAAAAATATGGATCCCCATCTTAGCAAAATGAAACAAAGCATATGCATCCATCTTTTCGTTCAAGAATTTCACCGGATAGAGATATAGTATAAGAAATATATGCATCCATCTTTCTAGTTGAGAATTTCACAGGATAAAGATATAGTGTAAGAAATACCCTATTAAGTATCTCTAAATGATTTGTGGATACATATAAGAAACGACTGCTATTATTTGTACCAAGCCAAATCGTTGTAATTAATGGCGGGTCAATGATGATTTTTTTTCCATATGTATTAAGATGCTCAGTCGAACTTCAAAATTGTTGTGTTGTTTTCATTCTAAAATGATGGATCTCCTTGCCTAACTTTCCAATTAGGGGGTTTCACAGAAATATTCTCACGACCCACGAGCAACTAAGGGGAAAAAAGCATTCATCTATGCGAAGTAGACAGAAGGCCGTTTGCTGACAGGGTCAAAAATACACCGGCACAAAAGGCCGTTTGCCTTTATTTGATTTTGTAACTAGGGGCTAGAGAGTAGACCCCCAAAAAAATTTCGCAACTTGGGAAACTCTGTGATTTTGGAAAATATTTTTTTTTGGTACTCTTGGTGATGCTCTTGCCGGGGAAGGCTTGTCTCGGTCTTTTTCCTTCCGCAGACCTCACTCATGTGGCAGCCTCCGCACTGGATCGCCCTTTTTTTTTCTTGGAGACGCTCTTATCTTTTCCCTCTGTTTGATTTGTTCATGAGCGCTTTTTATTAAGATTCTTGCAAAACTAACTACGGGATATAATACTAAGGATCTCACAAGCAAAAGAAAATTTGAAATCAACATTTTAATTTTTCCTCTTTCCTTTTTTTTTCAATTATCTGAGACGCCAAACAGATTCAAAATGGGAGTGGGGAGTAGTACTAACAGTCAGGGGGAAAAAAAGATCACACCTGTCAGCGAGGTAGAGGATGAGGTGGTCGTCGCCGGCGTACTCGCCCCAGAACGCCTCGCACAGCCCCGCGCTGCGGCGGACGGCGGTCCGCGCCAGCAGGTGGAGATCGCACTCGAAGAAGAGCTCCGCGTGGTACAGCATGTTGATGCGGCGCCACAGCTCGGGCTCGTCCCGTGCGGTACGGCGCCTGGAGCGGCACACCGGGCCGGCGCCCCTGAGGATGTCGATGTGGTCGAGCTTTCCGAGGATGTCCAGCAGCGCGTCCGCCAGCAGCGCCGCCCAGTCACGCGGCGGGCGGCCCAACCGGCGCCGGTTGCGGCGGCTGCGTGAGGAAGGCATCGGTCTCGGTCTCGGTCCCGTGCGGAGCGGAGGTCGCCGGACGTGCCGGAGTTGGAAGAGCCGAAGAGAGGCACAGTTGGTGGGGTGACTGGTGATGAGGCGAGGGAGGCGGAAGTGTGTTTATTGGGGGCCGCCGCTTCCTGCTTTCCTTGCCTTGCAATTGCAACGGTCGGCTGGCCTGCCACTGCCACTGCCACTGCCATTGCCCAGTGCTGGAGCCGGCCTCTGCTTTTCATGTGACGTCACGGCAAATTGGAAACCTGTGTTGCTGACAGGGAGGCTCCATGTAAGATGGACTCTCATTTTTCTTTTCTCTACGACTAAAACATACGGATTGTCAACATCTATACGGCAGAACCAAAACACTCGTACGATCCATGACTATCCGGTATAAAAAAAAATCTTCTTGCGATCCATGACTATCCGACGCATAAAAGAAAATTCTCCCAACCCCTGCATGCCGGCTCTATCCCGCACTCCTCCCTCACAGGTTTCTTCGGGTCTTTCCATGCATGGATGCATGCACGTGCACCCCGCTCTAACATGCAGCCGCGGTATTCTTATCTTTTTGACAAATCCAGAAAGCACAGATCACGGAAAAAATCAACAATCAGCCAGTTCGCTTGGTCGTATTTGACTTATAAGCCATGGTTTATCAGCCAACGAACAATATTTTTCTCTCACACCAAACCAGCCAACAGTACTTTCAGACATAGCTTATAAGCCAAACCAGCCCAAACGAACATGGCGAATAAGGGAAATGTTAACGTCCACCGGCAGGACGTTGTTGTGCCTGATTGCGTGCACCCCAGCGCTCCAAGATCTACGGTATTTTTTTCCTTTCAAGGAAAATCGGATAAATCATAGGAAAAAAACAACAATAAAATCCTGATGATATCTATGTGCATCCCTATCCACAGCCACGCCTCTGAAATAATCACCGGCAGGCAAATAATCACCGCATGGAGACACTGGAAGGCAAGTAAATAAAATAGAATAAAACGTAAAGAGAATTATGGGAAGAGAAAGGAATTTATTGGAGTATCACCACACAATGATCATGATCATGATCCAAATCTCGTTCGTCGTCCTTCGCGTTGCGTGTTGACAAAAATGAATTGTTGTCATGCCTCATGCAGGCTAGGATATTGTAAGTCCGACTATACATGTTTTGGGCAAGGCAGAGCATGGATAAATTCAATTCGATGCCTAGCAATAAATTTTCAGCCTTTGAGGCAACTGATGTTTGTCGTAACTTTCAGACAACAAGCTCGAAGCCTAGCTTTTATTTCAGATTCATTACGATACTGAATGTGTTTCTAGACATTATCATGGTATAATACACGTGAAAAATTGAATTGATATATTCTTGATTTTGACTTGGCTAACAAACATCTCATTCAATTTATGTTGCACCCATTGCAACGCATGGGCACTCATATAGTGTTATTAAAAACTAAGATTTTTTTCTAAAAAAACTGTTTTTTATGTCATGCCACCACCTTAGAGCAACTCTAACCAACCCCTTAAAATTTGATGCACTGCGCCCTCAAATGAGGGCCTCTCATCTAGATTTGAGCTCTTATTTTTCTGTGTACGCTATGAACCCTCTTTTCAGCCTCCCTATGTTTCTCTCACTTATATCTTATACATAACTTATAACTATCAACTCTAGCATTTTATATCTAAACTGTGTTATTTCAATATTAGTATTATTAGAATGGATATTTGTTAACAACAATTTTGTATGGCTAAATATTGGAGAAATTATTTTTTAAGATAATTTGCAACCATTATTTTTCGAAGTCTTTGGAACGGCTATATATTTGAAGTGTCACTCTTCTAACAGCTATTAATCAAACAGTTCTACCATTGCAACGACTATATTGCAAATGTTTTATCTCCAATGGTTATATCTTTTCCACCTCTATATATGTATGGCCATTCTCTTTCCTAGATCAATTCATACATTGTGTTGCTTCTGATCCACCTAAAATAAGTCAGCTCTCCTAACTAGATTCCTCTTCCTCGTCCAATGACAGCACCAGCACATAATAGGGGCATGGTTGGGGCCCAGCAAGGAGCGACGTGAGCTTGTTGCGCACTAGATGGCGACGTGAAGCAGGGGCGCACAAGTAGCAGAAAAGGGGGTCTAGCATGGGCGGCCAAGAAGCGGCGGTGGCCATGCTGCCCAGATTTGTGAGGTATATTGTTTATCCCCATCTCTCATCCATCTAGAAGCCAGACCATTTCGAGAAGATAACCATGGATGGCACGCAACAACAAGAAGAGAGGAACGGGGATATACCAGTTGGAACTCCACGGCGGCACAAGAAGATGATCACTGGCCTAGCCCACTCAGTGGATGAGGACTCAGAGCGGAGGCCCTCAAATGTGGGGGATGAGGAGAGCCCCTCATCCATCAGGTACGGATAGGAGACCGGTTGGAGACATGTTTTGCGCTTTGGACCCTCAAAATGAGATAGGGCTTTAAATAGGACACCGGTTGCAGTTGCTCTTATCACAATCATAAAGGCTCTTCCATTTGGTTTGGGCCTCCACATACATGGCTAATGTTCCTCAATTTAACTAGTTTTATTAGTTGTAGGCATTAAACAAGAACTCATAATGTTTGTTTTCTTTAGGAACAAGAACTTCTAATGTAATTCTCAAAAAAAAAGAACTTCTAATGTATCTATACCTTCTAAAGTTCACTACTACAGATTTGGACATCACTGCCGGATTTGTGAGAATCGACAGTGATGTACCTTCACTGCGGTTATGAGCTTGAAAATGAGAAAATGATTGGGGTTGGGCTAAAATGATTGTGGGAATCGGCAGTGAAGGACCACATCATTGCCAGTTTGTGGCTTAAACCGGTAGTGTTTTGGCATCCACTTATCATTGCCGGTTCAAGCCAAGAGCCGACAGTGATTGGGATCTATCACTGTTGGTTCTAGCCAAGAACCGACAGTGATAAGCCTACAGCACAAAAAAGGCTGCATCCGTCCTCTTCTTCCTCCTCTCTTCCATCCTGAGAACAGAGGCGCGTGTTTAGGCCCTTCCCTCTATTATTGCGGCTGCTCTTCACCATGAAGCTAGCGCTTGGATTTTGAAGAATGGCTTGATCTTTTTGCTTTAAGGTTAGTAACAAACATCCACTCCTTTGATTTTGTTGCTTAATTAGCTTCATTTTGATGGCTACATTGCTTGATTCTCATTCTAGTTCTTTCTCCATTCTATAGAGCACTTTTCCAATTGAACATTTGTGCAAGGCTCAAATTGTGGTGAATCCATCATCCAAAAGGTTGGTGTCCATGAACACATTTAAATTCCTAGATAATTATTCCATGGTGGTCAAGATCATCATTGTTAGTATGTGATGCTATAATTAGTTCTTAGAAGTAGAGTAGAATTTCAATTTTCTAATAATTAGTGTACAATAATGTTTTCCAAAAATGGTACTTTCGAGCTACAATTGTTGTTCATGAAGCTCGATTTCTTATTAATTCTTTGTAATTACTGTCTCAATATTTTTTTGTGCAGAGATGGATCGAGAGTGGATGTATCTGTCCCGAACGGACAAGCGGTACATGCATGGCGTCAGCCAGTTTATCACTGATGCCAAAGCCCATGCTGGGAATGGGAACCCTGTCTTCTGCCCATGCAAAGATTGCAAGAATCAAAGGAACTTTTATCAAATTGAGTCTATACGATCGCACTTGATTACCAGGGGGTCATGCCAAACTATATGATATGGACTATGCTTGGTGAGGTTGGTGTGAATGTTTTGCAGGAAAACGATGATGATGTGGACATTCCTGACGTAGCCATCCACAATGCTGACGAGGAACTAGGTGTCAACACGGAACCTATGACCATAGTTAATAATGTGTTTAGGAACACGCTAGCTGATGACACCGAGGATAACGATAGAATTTCTCAGCTGCTACGTAATGTAGAGACCGGATGTCTTAGTGAAAGACAGTTGAGAAAGCTAGAGAAAATGAGACAAGATGGCAAAACACTATTGTGTAGGAATTGTCCAATGAGAAAACTGGAAGCCGACATCATGCTGTTAGAGTTCAAATCAACAAACGAATTGAGCGATAAAGGCTTCGATCAGTTGTTAGGTATAATAAGCAAAATGCTCCTAGAAAAAAACGAGTTGCCAAAAAAGACATACTTGGCCAAGCAAATGATCTGCCCCATCGGCCTCGAGGTTGAAAAAATCCACACGTGTTCCAATGATTGCATATTGTACCGTGGAGAAAAATACAAAGACTTGGACAAGTGCCCCAAGTGTGAAGCTCCACGGTACAAGGAAGGATCGTCAGATGAGGGTACCAACACCAGAGGAGGTCCCGTAAAGGTCGTTTGGTATTTCCCTATAGCTCCCCGAGTGCATAGGCTATTTGCATGTGCAAAGTCAGCCAAACTGTTGTGTTGGCATAGCAAAGAGCATAAGAAAGATACAATGATGAGGCACCCCACCGATGGGCATGACTGGAGGACTATCAATACTATGTTCTATAAGGACATCGGTGGAGAGGTAAGGCACCTTTGGTTTGCTTTGAGCACAGATGGGATGAATCCTTTCGACCAAGTTAGAAGCAATCATAACACCTGGCTAGTGACGCTCTGTATCTACAACCTTCACCTTGGGTCTGTATGAAGCGGTCGTACATCCAGATGCCACTACTGATCCAAGGGCCAGGACAACCTGGGAATGCCATCGATGTGTTTCTAGAACCAGTGATCGATGAACTAGTGAAGATGTTTGAAAAGGGTGTGCCAAATGTTTAGGACGACTACAAAAAGGAACATGTCACGATCAAGAGAGTACTTATCGCTACAATCACTGACCTGTCAGGTCTAGGTTCATTGTCCAAAGAGAAGACAAAAGGCTATACTGGATGTGTCGAGTGCTTGGACGACGCCGATGTAGTAAATCTGCCAAATAACTCAAAGATAGTTTATATGGGACATCGTAGGTTCCT